GCAGGCTCAGCCTGGGATGTACACATCAGGCTAACACTCCTGGGATGTACACATCAGGCTAACACTCCTGGGATGTACACATCAGGCTAACACTCTTGGGATGTACACATCAGGCTAACACTCTTGGGATGTACACATCAGGCTAACACTTTATTGTCATAGACGTGCCACAAAATCTTGTACAGTCACATAAATTCAGCATATGTGTTCAAATTAATTATGTTCTAAATGCCAGGTTGTGTTATTTAGTCTTATGCGAAAAGCTGGCAATTCACCCACACACGGTATATCAAATAATCTCATATGAAACACACACGCACGCAGGCACAGAATGTCAGATTACATATCTTCAGATGACAAACTATATTACACACAAACTATGTGGTGCAAATTTCTACATTACAAACTCATTCTATAATGAATGAAGAATAAGATCACCATGCTCAGTACATTCCCATACATGCTCTGTCCCCTTCCTTAGTAGCCAAGAAAGACTTTCCATACCGATGGTCCCATTTTCTTATGAACCTGTTGAACCATCTCCTACATTATAGCACACAACAACCACCTCCCACATTACAGCACACAACAACCATCTCCTACATTATAGCACACAACAACCATCTCCTACATTATAGCACACAACAACCACCTCCCACATTACAGCACACAACAACCATCTCCTACATTATAGCACACAACAACCATCTCTCACATTACAGCGCACAACAACTATCTCTCACATTACAGCACACAACAACCATCTCCTACATTATAGCACACAACAACCATCTCTCACATTACAGCGCACAACAACTATCTCTCACATTACAGCACACAACAACCATCTCCTACATTATAGCACACAACAACCATCTCTCACATTACAGCGCACAACAACCATCTCTCACATTACAGCGCACAACAACCATCTCTCACATTACAGCACACAACAACCATCTCCCACATTACAGCACACAACAACCATCTCCCACATTACAGCACACAACAACCATCTCCCACATTACAGCACACAACAACCATCTCCCACATTACAGCACACAACAACCATCTCCCACATTACAGCACACAACAACCATCTCCCACATTACAGCACACAACAACCATCTCCCACATTACAGCGCACAACAACCATCTCCCACATTACAGAACACAACAACCCATCTCCCACATTACAGGCACACACACCACAACCATCTCCCAACATTACAGCACACAACAACCATCTCCCACATTACAGCACACAACAACCATCTCCCACATTACAGCACACAACAACCATCTCCCACATTACAGCACACAACAACCATCTCCCACATTACAGCACACAACAACCATCTCCCACATTACAGCACACAACAACCATCTCCCAAATTACAGCACACAACAACCATCTCCTACATTAATAACAAAGTTCACTATGAAAGCTCTGTAAATGTCTCTCCATCACATATTTGTTACAATCAAAATCAGAACACAATGTCATTTAGAAGGATACCATTTTTACATGTATATATTAAAAGTATGGTAATTAATATTATTTGTGATAAAACTAACAAATGTTATATTGCTAAAAAATGTTACCCATACAGTACTTTCTACATTATCTTGCAAAATTCATGTCTATGATAAAAGTAACAAATGTTACATTGCTATCAAATGTTATCCACACAGTACTTGCTATATATAGTTATAGAACCCTCATCCGCTTTTGCCAGGGGCCCTAAATATAGCCGGGCCCTAAATATAGCCGGGCCTTAAATATAACCAGGCCTTAAATATGGCCAATAGGCTGAATGGGGTTTCCATGACCTATCCACTGGTGATCTTCATCCGCATGGTGGCACTTTGTGTCACCGGGTGTTTATCGCTTGTGTGATGTCCTGGTGGGGCACAACTAACCTACTTACTTAGTACCTGCTATATTTTTTTGCAAATCATCACAACTATTTATACACAGACAATAATATCCGCTAAACAACAGAAGGAAACAACGTGCTTCCAATATAAAGTAGCAGTTCTGTCATCGGTTACTCTGTGCTCTATGCATACAATCATTCTTTAAAACAAACAATAACCAAACCTATCATTTGCTACTTTGCTATATATAGAATTACTCTAAAAAGTAAGATAGATCATTCATGCTGTGTATTTAGAATTACTGTAAACTATCAAGTCTATTGTTTGTTAATTTATGCTGCATATACATTATTACTCTAAAAATACCAAACTTGTCATTTGTTACATAATGTAACCAATGTAAAATTATCTACAATAATCTGCTAACATTCTGTGACAACAGAATGCAACCTATGTAGACTTTGCAACTTTATGTTGCAAATATGATATTTCTTAAACTTGTTACAAAACTAATACATACTTTAAAAATCAGGAAAACTGTGGTATTTACTATAAGGACATATATATGGAATTTGCTACAAGGTCACAAATATGGTATTTATTACAGAATGTTGCAAAATGGAATCTGACACAGGCTGTGACAAATATATATGTTATAGTATGTCAGCAATACAGTATCTGCATGTCACAAATATGGCATTCACTGTCAAATGTCACAAATTTGGATTTGTTACAGAATATTGCAAAATGAAATCCTCTACTGTATATTAAATATACAAAACTGTAAGCCCCAACAGAACAGCCTTTTGAGGGCAGATGTAGCAGAAGAAGAAGAAGTATTTACACATTTGGTATTCACTGCAATAGGTCAGGCTAATTAGTACTCCCTTAAATGCTCCAAACACAAAGTTTTCACTCAAAAGTCCGTGGGTGAAAAGATAATAATAACGTGTCACTTATATGAAACGTGCTTCAATTGATTTTAAATACCATATCTGCTATAACAGGTCACAAAAAGGGCCACCTATAACAGGTAGTACGGATGGTCACTATAACAGGTAGTACGGATGGTCACTATAACAGGTAGTACGGATGGTCACTATAACAGGTAGTACGGATGGTCACTATAACAGGTAGTACGGATAGTCACTATAACAGGTAGTACGGATGGTCACTATAACAGGTAGTACGGATGGTCACTATAACAGGTAGTACGGATGGTCACTATAACAGGTAGTACGGATGGTCACTATAACAGGTAGTACGGATGGGATGGTCACTATAACATATCACATAGACAACAATCTCAACAATAAATACACCAGAGATAGCAGTTGATGGTCATAGTAGACTGTGTTGAGAACACCATGTCTGGTAGCAAGAGGTCACAAGAAGTTGCAGAAGATAGTCCACACAGTGGCCGTAGAAGGTGTAACTGTTAGTATCTGTCAGTACTTGCTTTAACCCTTCCTAGGTCTAGTAATAGCCAATGTTGTAAACACAATAATAATATGAGATAGGAGAAGCACAATACCTATTCCAGCATAATGAGTTAATTTAACAAGTATAACAAGTATTTGAAACAGAACATGAACCCAGAAAGTCTCTTTACACCCCCCCCCCCCCCCCCCCCTTTTTACAAAAAAAAAAAAAAAAAAAAACATAATTACTCAGAATTTTTTTTTCACATTTTGAAAAGAAATATATGAAGAGCAGTAGCCGATAAACATGAACAGAGCAGAAAAATAAATGGAATACACTTCCTTAACTCCCCTCCCCCCCCCCCCCCCCCCCAAATGTATACAGTGACCCCATTAATGAATTATGACATCACAATGCCTAAAGATGCCTTTTTTTCCCAATGAAACCCTCGAAATGCTACCTGGTCCTCCTAGACACTGTGCAGGTGCAAATAGAGCCAGTGTCGTTAACTAGGCTTCTCAGGGACCGGCCAATGCAGCAATGCTGGTCAAATGGCTTCAAGGGGATTTGTAACCAATGGTTTCGCTGAATCATCGGCCTCTCTGTTCAAGGGTTCACAACTGACTGAGGCCTTAGTGATGTAGGTTACAGAAGAATGCTAACAATTCCATGGACAGCCAAAGTGAGCAGTCTAAACATTCTGAAAGAGTTAAGACATAAAGAATCTAAACATGCTGAGACAGTGAAGACATGAAGAAAAATACAATCAGAAAGAGGCTTTTGTAATTTACATTATGAGACGAGTAACACTGAACAAGCTGTGACAATTGAAAAATGTTGTGGCAAGAGAAGAGGGAAAATGATGAAAGACGATCCCTGACAGCCATTTCTTGCAGTATATGAAGGTGCCAGCACATGAACTATTCCAGGCTGTTGGTGAAGCATGACTGTCCATGTCTATCAGTAAGGCACATGATGATGATGATGAGGTTGTCACAAATAAGGTATCTGCTGAAATATATTTTGAAAAAAAAATGGAGATAAAAATCTATGCAACAAACAAAGTATTTGTCATGAGTTTTCTGAAGATAAGAAAGTATTTTAATGTGGTATTTGTGAAGAGAATTCTAAAGATCAAACTCATGTAAAAAATCCAGAATTAGTAAAGATTTGTTAAAGATAAATAATTGTGTAACAAACATGAAACTTGCGGGCGATTTCTAAAGATACAAATTTATGATGGACACGGGCAACTGGTGAATGTTTTTGTAAAGATGAAATGTGACAATTGAGATCTCTGTAAAGGTTTTGTAAAGATAAGTATGTAGTAAATATTACATTTGTGAAGAGCTTTTTAAAGAAACTATTTAACTTTTTAGAACATTTTATTATAGAAATGTAGGTAACACATAGTTTACGCTATATTTTTCTAAAGATTAGAATTTATGTAACAAATCCAATATTTGTGACAAGTTTATTTTAAAAAAAAATTAAAAACAAAACTATGTAACAGTATTTTTTAAAGATTTCTAAAGAAAGAAATGTATATAACAAATATGGTTGTTTGTAATATTTTTCTAAAGATAAAAATCTACGAAACAAATGCAATATTCGTGAAGAGCAGTCTGAAGATTTAAAACAATAAAAAAAAAGGTTAAAAGAAAACAATGATATCTCACAAAAAAAACATAGAACCATTAATATATCTGCATGAAAGACATGCGCCCAAAGCCGGGGTCTTTCCTGGCCTCCCAGTACTTGTTCGTATACTCGTAGGTTTCTGACTTGTCACTGGTTTCAACTTTCCTGTGGAGAAAGTTTCAAGGAAGAGCATCATTTTAATGTGTTTTTTTAAAATTCTTCTTGACCTGAACAAGCCCTCAGACTTTCCAACTCTTGCTACTTTATGTATGTGTGTGTGTATGTACATATCTAATATAAGGAATCAATGTTACTGCACTTGGGTAATGTCTAAAAGAGGTCAGTCTTTCCTGGTAAAAGTCAAAGGCTGTGAATGCTGATTAACCCTGTTGTCAACTGGTTTTCTATACATCAGAATCATCGTCCCCGTGTAGATTCTATGGATCCGGTGTGGGGAAAATCAAGAATTGTCCTACCGCAGGGGTGTCCTTCAAAGTCAGATTACCTCTACCTGAAAGGCGAGGAACCAACAATCTGCATACAAATAAGTCAGATCTGTAAAAGCAACACTCAAGTCATGAACAAGAGATTCACTACTATCCGGTCAGTCGGTCCACTCGTTTATAACCTTTTACTGACAAACGTAGTCTGACAAACGTAGTCACTCACAACGAAACATAACAGAAAATTAGTAACCATGAAGATGAGGTGTCTGAGAAAGGCTGTAGGAGTGACCAGAAGAGATAAGATCAAGAATGAGGTCATACGAGATAAAGTCGGTACGAAACCAATTCTAAATTACATACAAAGACAGCAAATCAAATAGTTTGCCCACTTGGAGAGAATGCTTTTTAATGCTAAACCATACAAGACCAAAAGAGGAGAGGGACATAGAGCAAGAGGTAGACCAATAACAAGATGGGAAGATAACATCAGAGAAACTCTACAGTACCACGATGTGTCTATGGTCGAAGCAGCCAGAAGATATCTCCCTCGACACCCAAAGCGGTAAGAGAGGATGTAAAAAAGAAGAAGAAGAAGAAGAAGACTGATATACTCAGGTGTGTAGATCCAAGTGAGGGAGGTTAAGTGTGATTTTTGAATGTTGTCTACTCATTCAGAGCGCAGGCAATTTTCTAAAGCATGTTCATGGAGTCTAATATGATCACGACTTGTGTGGCTGCTTGTTCTGTTGCCCATGTGAGTGCTCTGGAAGCAGCTGTCATCTCCATGGTCATGCTGGATGTAGTTGCCTGGTATGCGCTATTTTCCTCAGTTATTGTTTTCCTCAACCTTTGTGCCGTATATGCCCATGCTTACCTTGACCCTGACTTCACAGACCTATCTGTATGTTTAGAGTTATATGTTTAGGGTGTTTGTGGTGTATGTTTGGTGGTAAATGTTTGGAGGTATATGTTTAGGGTGTTTGTGGTGTATGTTTGGTGGTAAATGTTTGGAGGTATATGTTTAGGGTGTTTGTGGTGTATGTTTGGTGGTAAATGTTTAGAGGTATATGTTTAGGGTGTCTGTGGTGTATGTTTGGTGGTAAATGTTTGGAGGTATATATTTAGAGTGTTTGTGGCGTATGTTTGGTGGTAAATGTTTGGAGTTATATGTTTAGGGTGTCTGTGGCGCATGTTTGGTGGCAAATGTTTGGAGGTATATGTTTAGGGTGTCTGTGGTGCATGTTTGGTGGTAAATGTTTGGAGGTATATGTTTAGAGTGTTTGTGGTGTATGTTTGGTGGTAAATGTTTGGAGGTATATGTTTAGGGTGTCTGTGGTGTATGTTTGGTGGTAAATGTTTGGAGGTATATGTATAGGGTGTTTGTGGTGTATGTTTGGTGGTAAATGTTTGGAGGTATATGTTTAGGGTGTCTGTGGTGTATGTTTGGTGGTAAATGTTTGGAGGTATATGTTTAGGGTGTCTGTCGCGTATGTTTGGTGGTAAATTTTTGGAGGTATATGTTTTAGGGTGTCTGTGGCGTATGTTTGGTGGTAAATGTTTGGAGTTATATTTTTAGGGTGTCTGTGGCGTATGTTTGGAGGTATATGTTTAGGGTGTCTGTGGCGTATGTTTGGTGGTAAATGTTTGGAGTTATATGTTTAGGGTGTCTGTGGCGTATGTTTGGGCGCTAAATGTTTGGAGGTATATGTTTAGGGTGTCTGTGGTGTATTTTTGGTGGTAAATGTTTGGAGGTATATGTCTGGGACAGCTATGTGTACTTATTTAAAGAGTCAAACAAACATGCCGGGCTCACAACTAAACAACAAGTCAACAACAAACATGCCCGGCTAACAACTAAACATCAACAAGTCAACAACAAACATGCCCGGCTAACTACTAAACATCAACAAGTCAACAACAAACATGCCAGGCTCACAACTAAACATCAACAAGTCAACAACAAACATGCCCGGCTAACAACTAAACATCAACAAGTCACCAACAAACATGCCAGGCTCACAACTTAACATCAACAAGTCAACAACAAACATGCCAGGCTCACAACTAAACATCAACAAGTCACCAACAAACATGCCAGGCTCACAACTTAACATCAACAAGTCAACAACAACATGCCAGGCTCACAACTAAACATCAACAAGTCAACAACAAACACGCCAGGCTCACAACTTAACATCAACAAGTCAACAACAAACATGCCAGGCTCACAACTAAACATCAACAAGTCAACAACAAACATGCCAGGATCACAACTAAACATCAACAAGTCAACAACAAACATGCCAGGCTCACAACTAAACATCAACAAGTCAACAACAAACATGCCGGGATCACAAATAAATATCAACATGTCAACAACAAACATGCCAGGATCACAACTAAACATCAACTATTCAACAAAAAACACGCCAGGCTCACAACTAAACATCAACAAGTCAACAACAAACATGCCAGGATCACAACTAAACATCAACAAGTCAACTACAAACATGCCAGGATCACAACTAAACATCAACAAGTCAACTACAAACATGCCAGGATCACAACTAAACATCAACAAGTCACCACACATCACAGTCACCACTAAACATCAACAAGTCAACACAAACATCACAGGATCACCACTAAACATCATCACAGTCACCACTACCATCACAGTCACCACTACCATCACAGTCACCACTACCATCACCGTCACCACCACTCAACATCAACAAGTCACCACAACTACCATCACGCCAGGCTCACAACTACCACTACATCAACATCAACAACTCAACAACAAACCGTCACCACTATCATCACCGTCACCACTACCATCACAGTCACCACTACCATCACCGCCAAAACTACCATCACAGTCACCACTACCATTACCGCCACCACTACCATCACCGTCACCATGAAACTGGTCAAGATGAAACTAGCTGACAAGAGCTAACAATGCTGCCTTAATAGACCAATCAGACCTACAGTTATGCCTGCTGCCTTTGCTCCTTTATCATTTTAATCACCACCGCCACTCCTACCATCACAGTCACCACAACCATCACCGCAAAAACTACCATCACCGCCCCCACTATCATTAACGCCACCACTACCATCACCACCGCCACTACTAACATCACCGCCACCACTAACATCACCGCCAAAACTACCATCACCGTCACTACTACCATTACGGTCACCACTACCATCAACGTCACCACTACCAACACAGTCAGTCACCAGGCTCACAACTAAACATCACAAGTCACCACTACCATCACGGGCACCACTAACATCACAACCCACCACTACCATCAACCACACATCACCGCCGGCTTACTACTGATCAACAAGTCACCACTAACATTGGGCTCACAACTACCATCACAAGTCACCACTACCATCACGGTCACCACTACCATCACGTCACCACTACCATCACGTCACACACTACCAGGCTCGTCACCACTACATCACAGTCAACCACTACCATCACAGTCACACTACCACATCACAAGTCAACAACTACCACACAGTCACAGGCTCATCCACTAACCATCACCATCACAGTCACCACTACCATCATCGTCACCACTATCATCACTGTCGCCACTACCATCACAGTCACCACTAACATCACTGTCACCACTACCATCACCGTCACCACTACCATCACAGTCACCACTACCATCACCGTCACCACTACCATCACCACCACTACCATCACAGTCACCACTACCATCACAGTCACCACTACCATCACAGTCACCACTACCATCACCGTCAACACTACCATCACAGTCACCACTACCATCACAGTCACCACTACCATCACAGTCACCCACTCACTACCACTACATCACAGTCACCACTACCATCACAGTCACCACTACCATCACAGTCACCACTACCATCACAGTCACCACTACCATCACAGTCACCACTACCATCACAGTCACCACTACCATCACAGTCAGGCTCATCACAGTAACCATCACAGTCACCACTACCATCACAGTCACCACTACCATCACAGTCACCACTACCATCACAGTCACCACTACCATCACAGTCACCACTACCATCACAGTCACCACTACCATCACAGTCACCACTACCATCACAGTCACCACTACCATCACAGGTCACATCCAACTAACATCAACAAGTCACAACAACCATCACAGGCTCACAACTAAACATCACAAGTCAACAAGTCACCACTACATCACAGTCACCACAAACATCACAAGTCAACAACAAACATGCCAGGCTCACAACTAAAAACATCAACAAGTCAACACTACAAACATGCCAGGAAGTCACAACTAAACATCAACAAGTCAACAACATGCCAGGCTCACAACTAAACATCAACAAGTCAACAACAAACACGCCAGGCTCACAACTAAACATCAACAAGTCAACAACATGCCAGGCTCACAACTAAACATCAACAAGTCAACAACAAACACGCCGGGCTTACAGCTGATCAACAAGTCAACAACAAACATGTTGGGCTCACAAATAAACATCAACAAGTCAACCAGCCACTTACTTGAACCACAGAGGTTTCAGCTCCACTCCGCTGGCCTCCAGGTTCCTGCGACGATCTCTCTGTGAGTTCTCCAGTCTGTGCTTTTCTGCCTCAGCTTCAGCAACCTTCCCCTCCTCAAGAAGTCTATCAGAAAGATACAAAGGTCTGATTTGATTCTGTGAATCCAAGCAACCAGTCTTAAACTACATCAAGAGACAACCTCCTCAAGAAGTCTATCAGAAAGATATAAAGGTCTGATTTGATTCTGTGAATCCAAGCAACCAGTCTTAAACTACATCAAGAGACAACCTCCTCAAGAAGTCTATCAGAAAGATACAAAGGTCTGACTTGATTCTGTGAATCCAAGCAACCAGTCTTAAACTACATCAAGAGAACAACCTCCTCAAGAAGTCTATCAGAAAGATACAAAGGTCGTGTGATTTGATTCTGTGAATCCAAGCAACCAGTCTTAAACTACATCAAGAGACAACCTCCTCAAGAAGTCTATCAGAGAGATACAAAGGTCGTGTGATTTAATTCTGTGAATCCAAGCAACCAGTCTTAAACTACATCAAGAGACAACCTCCTCAAGAAGTCTATCAGAGAGATATAAAGGTCTGATTTGATTCTGTGAATCCAAGCAACCAGTCTTAAACTACATCAAGAGACAACCTCCTCAAGAAGTCTATCAGAGAGATACAAAGGTCTGACTTGATTCTGTGAATCCAAGCAACCAGTCTTAAACTACATCAAGAGACAACCTCCTCAAGAAGTCTATCAGAAAGATACAAAGGTCTGACTTGATTCTGTGAATCCAAGCAACCAGTCTTAAACTACATCAAGAGAACAACCTCCTCAAGAAGTCTATCAGAAAGATACAAAGGTCGTGTGATTTGATTCTGTGAATCCAAGCAACCAGTCTTAAACTACATCAAGAGACAACCTCCTCAAGAAGTCTATCAGAGAGATACAAAGGTCGTGTGATTTAATTCTGTGAATCCAAGCAACCAGTCTTAAACTACATCAAGAGACAACCTCCTCAAGAAGTCTATCAGAGAGATATAAAGGTCTGATTTGATTCTGTGAATCCAAGCAACCAGTCTTAAACTACATCAAGAGACAACCTCCTCAAGAAGTCTATCAGAGAGATACAAAGGTCTGATTTGATTCTGTGAATCCAAGCAACCAGTCTTAAACTACATCAAGAGACAACCTCCTCAAGAAGTCTATCAGAGAGATATAAAGGTCTGATTTGATTCTGTGAATCCAAGCAACCAGTCTTAAACTACATCAAGAGACAACCTCCTCAAGAAGTCTATCAGAGAGATATAAAGGTCTGACTTGATTCTGTGAATCCAAGCAACCAGTCTTAAACTACATCAAGAGACAACCTCCTCAAGAAGTCTATCAGAGAGATACAAAGGTCTGATTTGATTCTGTGAATCCAAGCAACCAGTCTTAAACTACATCAAGAGACAACCTCCTCAAGAAGTCTATCAGAGAGATATAAAGGTCTGATTTGATTCTGTGAATCCAAGCAACCAGTCTTAAACTACATCAAGAGACAACCTCCTCAAGAAGTCTATCAGAGAGATATAAAGGTCTGACTTGATTCTGTGAATCCAAGCAACCAGTCTTAAACTACATCAAGAGACAACCTCCTCAAGAAGTCTATCAGAGAGATACAAAGGTCTGATTTGATTCTGTGAATCCAAGCAACCAGTCTTAAACTACATCAAGAGACAACCTCCTCAAGAAGTCTATCAGAGAGATACAAAGGTCGTGTGATTTGATTCTGTGAATCCAAGCAACCAGTCTTAAACTACATCAAGAGACAACCTCCTCAAGAAGTCTATCAGAAAGATACAAAGGTCGTGTGATTTGATTCTGTGAATCCAAGCAACCAGTCTTAAACTACATCAAGAGACAACCTCCTCAAGAAGTCTATCAGAGAGATACAAAGGTCTGATTTGATTCTGTGAATCCAAGCAACCAGTCTTAAACTACATCAAGAGACAACCTCCTCAAGAAGTCTATCAGAAAGATACAAAGGTCGTGTGATTTGATTCTGTGAATCCAAGCAACCAGTCTTAAACTACATCAAGAGACAACCTCCTCAAGAAGTCTATCAGAGAGATACAAAGGTCTGATTTGATTCTGTGAATCCAAGCAACCAGTCTTAAACTACATCAAGAGACAACCTCCTCAAGAAGTCTATCAGAGAGATACAAAGGTCGTGTGATTTGATTCTGTGAATCCAAGCAACCAGTCTTAAACTACATCAAGAGACAACCTCCTCAAGAAGTCTATCAGAAAGATACAAAGGTCTGATTTGATTCTGTGAATCCAAGCAACCAGTCTTAAACTACATCAAGAGACAACCTCCTCAAGAAGTCTATCAGAGAGATACAAAGGTCGTGTGATTTGATTCTGTGAATCCAAGCAACCAGTCTTAAACTACATCAAGAGACAACCTCCTCAAGAAGTCTATCAGAGAGATACAAAGGTCTGATTTGATTCTGTGAATCCAAGCAACCAGTCTTAAACTACATCAAGAGACAACCTCCTCAAGAAGTCTATCAGAGAGATACAAAGGTCTGATTTGATTCTGTGAATCCAAGCAACCAGTCTTAAACTACATCAAGAGACAACCTCCTCAAGAAGTCTATCAGAGAGATACAAAGGTCTGATTTGATTCTGTGAATCCAAGCAACCAGTCTTAAACTACATCAAGAGACAACCTCCTCAAGAAGTCTATCAGAGAGATACAAAGTCTGATTTGATTCTGTGAATCCAAGCAACCAGTCTTATCAGAGAGAAAACTACATCAAGAGACAACCTCCTCAAGAAGTCTATCAGAGAGATACAAAGGTCGTGTGATTTGATTCTGTGAATCCAAGCAACCAGTCTTAAACTACATCAAGAGACAACCTCCTCAAGAAGTCTATCAGAAAGATACAAAGGTCTGATTTGATTCTGTGAATCCAAGCAACCAGTCTTAAACTACATCAAGAGACAACCTCCTCAAGAAGTCTATCAGAGAGATACAAAGGTCTGATTTGATTCTGTGAATCCAAGCAACCAGTCTTAAACTACATCAAGAGACAACTCCTCAAGAGTCTATCAGAGAGATACCTCCTCAAGCAAAGTCTTCTACATCAGAGAGACCTCCTCAAAGTCTATCGTGTGAGGTCTGATTTGATTCTGTGAATCCAAGCAACCAGTCTTAAACTACATCAAGAGACAACCTCCTCAAGAAGTCTATCAGAGAGATACAAAGGTCTGATTTGATTCTGTGAATCCAAGCAACCAGTCTTAAACTACATCAAGAGACAACAGAACAAATGCTTTGGGCTGCAAGTGATGGATGGATAGGTGGAATATCTCAGGCCGTGAATACCAGCATTTACATTGCACATACTTAGGCTGGCATCCAAAACCCTTCAAAATCTGAAGATGAAAGAAAGAATAGGACTGGAGAGGAATCAAAGCAATCCCCTGTAAAGGACAGGACACATATATATTTGTGTGCAGTGAAGGATTGATCTAAAAGCATCTGGGAAGCTGTTCTTGGGGAAAAACTGATTAGTAAACTGATATCTTCCACATCAAATTAGGAGAATTTCAGCTCAGTTCTCCAAACTCTGTAGCACCAGTGAGTAACTCATCTATGTACAGTATATAACAGAACAAATACAAATAATACAGTGTTGTCAGATTAACAACTGCAGATGAATTATTAACTTACAGACAGGGCCTCATATTCTCTGACCTTATTAGAGAAGGCCAGATATCCAATCCACTATACAGAGGTCAGGGAGAAATATTAAATCACTGGGTCCTTAGATAAACATTGTTCTGGAAGTACTGTCCCCATGTTCTGGAAGTACTGTCCCCATGTTCTGGAAGTACTGTCCCCATGTTCTGGAAGTACTGTCCCCATGTTCTGGAAGTACTGTCCCCATGTTCTGGAAGTACTGTCCCCATGTTCTGGAAGTACTGTATGTTCTGGAAGTACTGTCCCCATGTTCTGGAAGTACTGTCCCCATGTTCTGGAAGTACTGTCCCCATGTTCTGGAAGTACTGTCCCCATGTTCTGGAAGTACTGTCCCCATGTTCTGGAAGTACTTACTGTCCCCATGTTCTGGAAGTACTGTCCCCATGTTCTGGAAGTACTGTCCCCATGTTCTGGAAGTACTGTCCCCATGTTCTGGAAGTACTGTCCCCATGTTCTGGAAGTACTGTCCCCATGTTCTGGAAGTACTGTCCCCATGTTCTGGAAGTACTGTCCCCATGTTCTGGAAGTACTGTCCCCATGTTCTGGAAGTACTGTCCCCATGTTCTGGAAGTACTTACTGTCCATATGTTCTGGAAGTACTGTCCCCATGTTCTGGAAGTACTGTCCCCATGTTCTGGAAGTACTGTTCCCATGTTCTGGAAGTACTGTCCACATGTTCTGGAAGTACTTACTGTCCATATGTTCTGGAAGTACTGTTCACATGTTCTGGAAGTACTGTTCACATGTTCTGGAAGTACTGTCCACATGTTCTGGAAGTACTTACTGTCCATATGTTCTGGAAGTACTGTTCCCATGTTCTGGAAGTACTGTCCCCATGTTCTGGAAGTACTGTCCACATGTTCTGGAAGTACTTACTGTCCATATGTTCTGGAAGTACTGTCCCCATGTTCTGGAAGTACTGTTCACATGTTCTGGAAGTACTGTCCACAGTTGGATTTCATCCCAAAACTTCTTAAATTTGAGACAGACTCTGCACCACTGAGACAGGTGGGTTTGTTGTCATATAGATCATTTGATGCACACTTTGTTTAGAGCGGCAAACATCCCTTTAGAGGTCTCCAGCAATTATTATCCTTTGGATATTATCTTAAGGGTGTGCAGGTGTGCTGGGAAATGAACCGGTAGACAGACTGACTGCTTCTGCACCACTGGAAGGGAGTTTGATACACGACAAGCTAGATGCGGTCAAGGTCCCCTGGGATAAAGCAACAATGCGGAGGAGGCATTACCATATGGAAACAATGGTAAGGCAGACAGCAACCTGGGGATCTGACCAACACTCTGCACTCAAGAGGAAAGAAAAGATGCACAAACTGCTACTGCTACCACTGGAATTGGAACTCTTCGCTGGCTGTTGAAGATGAGTACAGAGCATCTATGGATATATTTAGAGTGCTGATTCTTGACTCAACTCAAATCAAGCTTAAACTATGCAAGATGCACAAATACTACTTTTCGTATAAGATAATCACGCTTCACACATCCTGTGGAGCAATGAGGTATCTACTTGACTTTGTTTTTACATTTTCCTGTATTGCCACACTCAACAGGTGACGTAGAGAAGAGAATCCTGTTGCAGTTAATGCAGAAGTCAACGCTCAGTGAAAATTTAGACAAAGCAGATGCACTAATCTACACAGACGGATCTGTTATACGCCAAAAAAGAAGCGCATGGGCATTCACAGCACGCTCAGCGGGCAGAACAGTGAAAGAAGCCAACGGCGCCTTCTCCATGACAACCAGCAGCATGACGATGGAGGTGATGGCAGTGACACAAGTGTTCACCTGGCTAGAAACACAAAACTACACCCGCGTGTGTATACTCAGTTATTCAATAAGTATGATCCGGAGGGTTCAGGCAGGTTTGGTGCGAAGACAATGGCTTGAATAATTACAGAAGTCCACTGTGCATGCAGTCACCTTTATTTTTGTTCCGGGACACACAGCAGTCGATGGAAATGAAAGAGCTGACAGGTTGTCTGAATCCGGTCAGCTTATGGATCATGCTGATATTATTAATGCCCTCAGAGAAATGGGAAGGATAGAGGACTTTAGGGGCAGTGAATCCACATCACTCGCCAAACAGACCAGGAGACTTGTTAATCAACATAGAACTGGTAGTATTAGCCATCGGACATTGGGGTTCATACTGAGGGGAGGATCTGAGCGCCTATGGACATGTCCGGAGTGCAATGATGATAACCCAACTAACTAACTAACTAAATCAACTTCAAAATTAGCCACATGTAACTGCGGTCAAACATTTTACTGCTGTCAAATATTCAACTGCAATCAAAAATGGCCTCATGAACTGGAGGTTCAGTCTCTTTCCCTGCTTCAGACATGTAAACGTCAAATACTGTCCACAAAATAACTGCTTTTACTGATACTAAGATACTAGCACACCTGTAAACAGGCATCAATGAGTGATTCATGGTATAAATATGCTGTTTCTTCTTCAGATGGTGGTTTACAGCTAGGCTGTGATATCTGCATCTTTCAGTTCAAGACATCTCATTTCAGTAACAGCTAAATTAGCCCCCTTTTATGACATGACTGATAAGGGTATCCCCCCACCCTCCTTCAACAATGGGGCCCTTGAAGCCACCCAGGAGTACAAAGTAAAAGTAAAGGTCCCTTGCCCCCCCCCCCCCCCTCCCAATTGTACTAAGCCTACAGGGCTTGACCTATATCTCAAAGACCAGTCGGTACTGGGTGGGTGACATAGTTAACATCCTGCCCACTACCTTTACTTCTCCGGACTTTGCCTAGTACCCATTTAAGTAAAGGTCAAACGTGAAGCCAAAGGTCATTTCTGAAACAAGCTCAGCCCTGTCAGGATCTGAACCCATAACCTTCAGATCCACAGGCGAGCATCTAGCCACTACACAATGGAGGCTCTCTAGGGAGTATGAACATGATTAATGTTTGTTTTTCAAAGCACTAAAGGTGAAGAGCAAATCTTTGATTAGGTCTGAATGAGGGGTCTGCGGGATAAACATGAGATAAATAACGTGTTTTTTCTAAAGTTAAAAAGCAAATCTCTGATTAGGTCTGATTGAGGGGTCTGCGGGATAAACATGAGATAAATAACGTGTTTTTTTCTAAAGAGTAAAGTTAAAAAGCAAACCTTTGATCAGGTCTGAACCTGGTGTCTGTCGGTGGTAGGAACTTGGCCGTGTCAGGATCCAGCTCGTTGAGCTCCATGGCGAACCTGGTGAATCCATAGTAGAGCTCGTAGTTCTCAGGCATGGTTCCTGCAACATTTGATGTATGCAGGCAGAGAGTTCATCTTTTACTCATGAAAACATGACTGAACATTTCCGGCTTTCCTGTACTCTCAAAGTGTCCTTCTTCTTTCATGTCTGTCTACTTTATTTTGTCTCCATCTCCCTTCATTTCTTTTTCTCTCTTCTTTTTTTATGCCAATTTATGTCAATCGTTCACAAGCTCATTTCTTTCCCTTACTTAGTTCTTCTCTTCTTTGCTTGTGTGTGTGTTTTTTTTTTTTTTTTACATAGGTTAGTTTGCTTTTTTTTAATGCATTCTATAATCTTTTTTTTTTCTATCTGTCTGAAGTAATTTCTTTATGTCAATCATTTCTGCCTCCTTTTACATTCAGACCATAAAAACCAATGATATCCCATCTGGCTCTCCTGTCAACTTAGGCCGTTAGCTGGACTGCCGCTGATCGCTTAGTGGGAGTTCTCTCCCTTGGCTGCATTGCGAACACGGAGCGGAAAAGTCACGAATCAAATGACATACTTACCTATCATCATACGGTTGCGTGTACGGTTGCGTAGTCATCATACGGTTACCTATCATCATACGGTTGCGGGTGCGGTTGCGTAGTCATCATACGGTCATCATAGGGTTTGGGTTAGGGTTAGGGATAGCGGCGTTAGGGGTTGGGTTACGGTTAGGGTTAGGGATAGGGTTAGTGTTAGGGTTAGAGTTAGGGTTAGGGTTAGGATTAGGGTTAGGGGTAGGGTTAGGGTTAGAGGTAGGGTTAGATGTGACAATTTTGACGTAGGAGTTTCGAATACTGGCCGACAATCTGATGCTTGTGGGAGTGGCGCCACTGGAATTCTCCCAAATATGACGGCAATAGTGCGCGGCTGGTGCCCCATCGGTGGCGAATTGTCCGTTTGAGTAGCATCCACAGTCCTTCGATTGTTTGGGTGTGTATGTGACTGTGCGCGATTATTTGGAACTCCTGCGTCAAAATTGTCACATCTAACCCTAACCTTAACCCTACCCCTAACCCTACTGCTACCCCTAACCCTACCCCTAACCACGCAAATTTATCGGCGGTCATTAAGTCATACAGATCTGCAGAAGTCACATCCGTGGCAACTAATACCACTGTTATATAAGGATATATTTACTTTAAAAAACCCCCAGATTTCCCCGAAGCGTCAAATAAACAGCCAGATCTGGGGGAAACACCCAAGCATTGGCAGCCTGTTGTTGACCTCACTGCCTTTTTTGATTCGAGACTTTTCCGCTCCGTGTTCGCAATGCAGCCAAGCGAGAGAACTCCCACTAAGCGATCGTCGGCTGTCCAGCTAACGGCCTAAGTTGACAGGAGAGCCTCTCATCTTTATACTAGCAGAAAATGAAATACCAAGTTCAGAAAGCTAACTAATGAGAAACATGTAAAGACAGTTGTTATATCTGTCATCCCCTTGTGGGATGCATCTTTGTGTGTGTGGAAGCACCATTCTGGCTTTTGCCAATGGCTGTAATATAGCCCGGCCATAAATATGGTCTAATGGCTGAACGCAAAAGGCAAGAGGAGCTTTCATAGCACTAGGGAATTTGTACAGGTCAAAAGAGATTAAAAGAAATACTAAACTAAAAATCTGTAATTCTAATGTCAAATCAGTACTTTTGTATGGGGCGGAAACATGGAGAACAACTAATGATATTACTAATAAATTACAGACATTCATTAACTGGTGCCTGTGCAGAATAGAGGGAATTAAATGGTATGATAGAATAACTAATGTAGAGCTTTGGGAGAGAACTAAACAGGCTCCAGTGAACCAAGAGGTGAGGAAGAGACGCTGGCGCTGAATAGGAAACACATAGAGAAAAAGAAGAACAGCATAACTAGAATGTCTTTGCATTGGAATTCACAGGGGCATAGGAATAAAGGAAGCCTCTGTTTAGACAATGAGATCCCATGTTCAGACATTGAACTCCCATACCAGCCCACAAATGAGATCTCAAACAGTCAACATCTCCAAACTTTCAACAACTTATAGAAAGTACAATCAAACTACCTGGTCTCCATATACACTTGGCAGACGTGGCGTGCCCACAAAAGAAAGCCTCATTCCATTTCCCAAACAAATTGTGGGCCACTTTTCCATCAGAAGAATTGATGCTTCCCAGAATCTCATAACGTTTCGGGGAGGTATTGTTAGAGCCCTGTAACATAAACAGTCCTAAATAAATAGGTTGACAAAATCAATATTGCAAACAATAACAAGCTTGCATGAAAATATAAACAATAAGTAAACCTCATCACCATCAAGTGTCTTGCCAGCTGGCATAGGCATTCATGCGTCGCCACAGAGCTCGGTCTTTGGTGTTCTGGATCAATTCTACTGATGATAGTCCTCCATGCCACTGTCTCAAGCCATCCACCATCGTTTCTCTCGGTCTGCCTCTGTCTTTTCTACCCAGTGATACTTTCCAGTTGTCATTATATTTTCTAGTGCTCCTTTTCTCATCACATAAACAAAGAACTTTGTCTCCTTCTCATTGTTGTATATAATGTTCTACTTTCATTTGACATTTAAGTAAGTAAATTTACAATGTTTTTCCTGGGACAGGTGTGTTGGGACATGAACGGGCAGGCAGTTTGGATGGCTCTGCTCTCACTGGGTGGTGACTTAATGCATGACAAGCTAGATATGATCAGGGTCTTTTGGGAGCAAGTGAACAATACAGAAATGCAAATAAATCTTTATGAACTGGACAGTGCAATGGACGGTGATGAGGGCATCTGGCTCTTCACTCAGAGGAAAGGCAAGATGGACACACGGTCAGCTGCTATTGAGACCACTGGTTTTATAATAGACGGAAGAATCATACATCTCCCCCACAATAAATTCTTACATTTCCCCCAACAATTTCGAGCACAAGTAAATTCTTACAGCTCCTCCTAAGAAATCTGAACAAACAGAGGATGGTTACTACACCCCCCCCCCCCCTTCCCAACTGAGCTAACTGCCGGAAGAGAAGAAGATAGGATTAAATCTTGGACATCTGTGTTAGTGGATAAGTATACTGGAAACTATAGGAGAACTGCTTCAATCAAACAAAGGCTAAGCCACACATTACCTTAGTGAAGGTGAGCTTACAAACAATGTTGCAGTTCATTACCTTAGTGAAGGTGAGCTTACAAACAATGTTGCGGTTCATTACCTTTGTGAAGGTGAGCTTACAAACAATGTTGCTGTTCATTGCCTTTGTGAAGGTGAGCTTACAAACAATGTTGCGGTTCATTACCTTTGTGAAGGTGAGCTTACAAACAATGTTGCGGTTCATTACCTTTGTGAAGGTGAGCTTACAAACAATGTTGCGGTTCATTACCTTTGTGAAGGTGAGCTTACAAACAATGTTGCGGTTCATTACCTTTGTGAAGGTGAGCTTACAAACAATGTTGCTGTTCATTGCCTTTGTGAAGGTGAGCTTACAAACAATGTTGTGGTTCATTACCTTTGTGAAGGTGAGCTTACAAACAATGCTGCGGTTCATTACCTTTGTGAAGGTGAGCTTACAAACAATGTTGCGGTTCATTACCTTTGTGAAGGTGAGCTTACAAACAATGTTGCGGTTCATTACCTTTTGTGAAGGTGAGCTTACAAACAATGTTGCGGTTCATTACCTTTGTGAAGGTGAGCTTACCAACAATGTTGCGGTTCATTACCTTTGTGAAGGTGAGCTTACAAACAATGTTGCGGTTCATTACCTTTGTGAAGGTGAGCTTACAAACAATGTTGCGGTTCATTACCTTTGTGAAGGTGAGCTTACAAACAATGTTGCGGTTCATTACCTTTGTGAAGGTGAGCTTACAAACAATGTTGCGGTTCATTACCTTTGTGAAGGTGAGCTTACCAACAATGTTGCGGTTCATTACCTTTGTGAAGGTGAGCTTACAAACAATGTTGCGGTTCATTACCTTTGTGAAGGTGAGCTTACAAACAATGTTGCGGTTCATTACCTTTGTGAAGGTGAGCTTACAAACAATGTTGCTGTTCATTACCTTAGTGAAGGTGAGCTTACAAACAATGTTGCGGTTCATTACCTTTGTGAAGGTGAGCTTACAAACAATGTTGCTGTTCATTACCTTTGTGAAGGTGAGCTTACAAACAATGTTGCGGTTCATTACCTTTGTGAAGGTGAGCTTACAAACAATGTTGCTGTTCATTACCTTTGTGAAGGTGAGCTTACAAACAATGTTGCGGTTCATTACCTTTGTGAAGGTGAGCTTACAAACAATGTTGCTGTTCATTACCTTTGTGAAGGTGAGCTTACAAACAATGTTGCGGTTCATTACCTTTGTGAAGGTGAGCTTACAAACAATGTTGCCATTGGTGATGGTCATCTCCCCATACTGGTCAGCCCAGCGCTGACCTCCCAGCAGGTTGTGAACACATGTGGTGACCTTGTTCCAGCGATAGTGATCCCGATACCTGAAAGTGAGTCATCCAATGAGACACCGGTCACTGAGTTAAGAGAATCATCAAGGAAACAATAACAGGTATCACTGATCCCACACAACCTGGCTGTTTCATGTAGCTCAGGGCAGACAGAGGGTCAAGCTATCAAGTATCAAGAAACAGGTAATTTAGCAGTAAATATCCAGCTAAGGTGAAAAGTAATTCAGTAGTAAATACCCAGGTGGAAGTTGCTGTGGTGTAGTGGCTAGATCGAAAGCTATACCCAGGTAGGAGTTGCTGTGGTGTGGTGGCTAGATCAGAAGCTATACCCAGGTAGGAGTTGCTGTGGTGTGGTGGCTAGATCAGAAGCTATACCCAGGTAGGAGTTGCTGTGGTGTGGTGTGGTGGCTAGATCAGAAGATATACCCAGGTAGGAGTTGCTGTGGTGTGGTGTGGTGGCTAGATCAGAAGATATACCCAGGTAGGAGTTGCTGTGATGTGGTGGCTAGATCAGAAGATATACCCAGGTAGGAGTTGCTGTGGTGTGGTGGCTAGATCAGAAGATATACCCAGGTAGGAGTTGCTGTGGTGTGGTGGCTAGATCGGAAGATTTCCCAGGTAGGAGTTGCTGTGGTGTGGTGGCTAGATCGGAAGATTTCCCAGGTAGGAGTTGCTGTGGGGTGGTGGCTAGATCGGAAGCTATACCCAGGTAGGAGTTGCTGTGGTGTGGTGGCTAGATCGGAAGCTATACCCAGGTAGGAGTTGCTGTGGTGTGGTGGCTAGATCGGAAGATATACCCAGGTAGGAGTTGCTGTGGTGTGGTGGCTAGATCGGAAGATTTCCCAGGTAGGAGTTGCTGTGGTGTGGTGGCTAGATTGGAAAATATACCCAGGTAGGAGTTGCTGTGGTGTGGTGGCTAGATCAGAAGATATACCCAGGTAGGAGTTGCTGTGGTGTGGTGGCTAGATCAGAAGCTATACCCAGGTAGGAGTTGCTGTGGTGTGGTGTGGTGGCTAGATCAGAAGATATACCCAGGTAGGAGTTGCTGTGGTGTGGTGGCTAGATCGGAAGATATACCCAGGTAGGAGTTGCTGTGGTGTGGTGGCTAGATCGGAAGATATACCCAGGTAGGAGTTGCTGTGGTGTGGTGGCTAGATCGGAAGATATACCCAGGTAGGAGTTGCTGTGGTGTGGTGGCTAGATCGGAAGATATACCCAGGTAGGAGTTGCTGTGGTGTGGTGGCTAGATCAGAAGCTATACCCAGGTAGGAGTTGCTGTGGTGTGGTGGCTAGATCGGAAGCTATACCCAGGTAGGAGTTGCTGTGGTGTGGTGGCTAGATCAGAAGCTATACCCAGGTAGGAGTTGCTGTGGTGTGGTGGCTAGATCAGAAGCTATACCCAGGTAGGAGTTGCTGTGGTGTGGTGGCTAGATCGGAAGCTTGTGGGTTCTGGTTCTGACAAAACTGCTTTTTAAAAATGACCTTGCCTCCCAGGTTGACCCAACCTTCATTGGGTACCAGGTGCATCCCTGGGAGGTCAAAGGTGGCTGCAGTGATGTTGACCACATCATCCACCATTATCCGATTGATCTATCAAATATAGGTCTACGCCTAGGGGGAGAAGGGGTGGAAAAGTGTCCTTTTTATTTACTTTTAAATATCTAAGTAAGGTAAAGGGTAATTCAGTGGTAAGTATCTAGGTCAGATAAAGGGTAATGCAGTGGTAAATATCCAGGGAAGATAACGGGTAATTCAGTGGTAAATATCCAGGGAAGATAAAGGGTAATCCATTGCTAAATATCCAGGTAAGATAAAGGGTAATTCAATGGTAAATATCCAGGTACGGTAAAGCGTAATTCAGTGGTAAATATCCAGGTAAGATAAAGGGTAATTCAGTGGTAAATATCCAGGTAAGATAAAGGGTAATTCAGTGGTAAATATCCAGGTAAGATAAAGGGTAATTCAGTGGTAAATATCCAGGTAAGGTAAAGGGTAATTCAGTGGTAAATATCCAGGTAAGATAAAGGGTAATTCAGTGGTAAATATCCAGGTAAGATAAAGGGTAATTCAGTGGTAAATATCCAGGTAAGGTAAAGGTAACAGTGGTAAATACCAGAAAATTTGACCTCTCAGATTTTAAAATTACGATCTGAAAGGTAAGCCAACAGGAAAAATGGCAGATACCCCATTCAACCTTCAAAGAAGTTAAAACGGGTTACACTAGGCTCACGGAACCAGCAATCCTGTCTGTGCATGCCAGGGTTATGTCATCTGAATAAGTTAGAACAAATCAAGAGCATGACCTACTTTGGTAAGACAAGATTGACGTGTCCCAAAGGCTGAATTTCCATTGACTTTCCCCAGAATTTTGTCTTGATTCTGACATCTGTGAGGAAGCCATGAAAGTAAAAAAAATGTATAAAAGATGGTAAATATGATAAATGAAAGAAATATGCTTTTGAAATTATTTTGTTTCTTTCAATTTAGTCGAATTATAATTTTGTCTTCATCCTCTTCTTCTTAATCTTGGTCTCATCCTTTATCTTGTTCAGCTTCTTCTTTATCTTTTTACATCTTTCTTTCTTCTTCTTCAATTTTTTTTTCTTTTTGTTCATCATCTTAAACTTTTTTCTTCTTATTTTTTTTCATCTTTTCTTCTTCTTCATCGTCATCATTTTGTTACTATTGTTATAATTATTATTATTTCTTGTGTCTGGTATAAAGCTGACATTAGATGCAAAGACTCTCCTAGTTCTCTGCCATGTGATATTTTGATGAAGTGTTCATGATAACATTATCTACAAACTGTTTAGGCAGTCCTCATTTGTCTTTTTCTGCCTCTCATGCCTACCGTTTAAAACAAAGGCAAATTAGATATGGCAACTAAACTTCCTGATGTGAAAAGTAGCACAAGCGGGCAAATATCAACAGTATCTAAGAAATGGGCAAATATCAACAGTATCTAACAAATGGGCAAATATCAACAGTATCTAACAAATGGGCAAATATCAACAGTATCTAACAAATGGGCAAATATCAACAGTATCTAACAAATGGGCAAATAACATTATCCAAGAAATGGCTGGTGAAAATAAGGGCCTTACCTTGCCATAGTTTGAAGTTCTTGGACTCACAATGGCAGGCTGAGACTGGTGGGTGATGGCTGACCTGGAAGTCAAGTCAAACAGTTAAAGTACTGGGCAAAAAGACAACAAAATTACACATGCATTTCCCTGAGGCATCAGAAACCAACAATTGCATTTACTGAATGTTTTATGGGCTTATTAGGCAATTAAATGTTCAGCGGTTTGTTACTGCTTTCTAAACAGTAAGCTGCTCTTTCCCCTGTCTAAGTCAATGCAAAGAGGTTTGCTGAAAGGTATTGCAATAATACTGCATGTGGGAAAATGCATGGACAGAGCAGATATCATCAATGCTGTATGAACTAGACTGGCAGACAGTAATACATCTCTGATGCTAACATGATTGCATTATCTCAGAGTGAAGCCTGGTGAAGCATTTCGATGCCATCTTTGAGGTGAGGACTGAAGACAAGGCAACCAACTCCTCCTGGAAACAATCAGTAGTTGCCAAGGCTGAAGATTGCAACCAGCAGGTGTCTGACCTAGGTAAGATCAGTCACAGAAAATACTGGATGAATACAAACATGCATGGCATCTCTAAGGTTGTCATCACACTGGGAACAGATCAGATTCCTGCTGCTGTAGACACAGAGGTAAGGGACCTAACAGATCAGCATTCACACCCGTAAGACATCATCATCTACACATGAAGCACGATCAAGGTCATCATGAGCCTGCACAACACAAAGGATGGAGAAAACAAAACCAGAGGACAATGGCACTTACCAGGCAACTACATCAGGCATAACCATGGAGAAAACAAAACCAGAGGACAATGGCACTTACCAGGCAACTACATCAAGCATAACCATGGAGAACACAAAACCAGAGGACAATGGCACTTACCAGGCAACTACATCAAGCATAACCATGGAGAAAACAAAACCAGAGGACAATGGCACTTACCAGGCAACTACATCAAGCATAACCATGGAGAAAACAAAACCAGAGGACAATGGCACTTACCAGGCAACTACATCAAGCATAACCATGGAGAAAGCAGCTGCTTCTAGAGCACTATCATGGGTATCCGAGCAAACAGCCACACATGCAGTAATTGTATCAGACTCCATGAGCATACTTTGGAAGACAACAACAGGTGTTATGCACCATGAATGGCTAGAAAGAGAGAGAGAGAGACAGACACAGAGAGAACACAGAGAGAGAGAGAGAGAGAGAGAGAGAGGCAGAGAGAGGCTAGCAGAAAGAGAGAGAGGACTCACCTGTTCAGCAATGAACCTCCAGCCCTTGTCCTCCCGTATGCACTCGTAGGTCTCTCCCAGCAGGGGGTTAAATGGCTTGTGGCCCTCCCGGTAGTAGGAGCTAGCGTAGCTGCTCACAGCAAAGGCAGCCACGTACATCTGTGAATAACAGCTGTTATTCATACATCTTTGGATAACAGTTGTTTCACATACATTTGTGGATAACAGTTGTTATTCATACATCTTTGGATAACAGTTGTTTCACATATATTTGTGGATAACAGTTGTTATTCATACATCTTTGGATAACAGTTGTTTCACATATATTTGTGGATAACAGTTGTTATTCATACGTCTTTGGATAACAGTTGTTTCAAATATATTTGTGGATAACAGTTGTTATTCATACATCTTTGGATAACAGTTGTTTCATATATATTTGTGGATAACTGTTGTTACACATACATCTGTGAATAAAAGTTGTTTCACATACATCTGTGAATAACAGTTGTTACACATACATCTGTGGATAACAGTTGTTATTCATACATCTTTGGATAACAGTTGTTTCACATATATTTGTGGACAACAGTTGTTAGTCATACATCTTTGGACAACAGTTGTTACACATACATCTGTGGATAACAGTTGTTATTCATTCATCTTTGGATAACAGTTGTTTCACATATATTTGCAAACAAGTTGTTACACATATATCTGTGAATAAAAGTTGTTTCACATACATCTGTGAATAACAGTTGTTACACATACATCTGTGGATAACAGTTGTTATTCATACATCTGTGAATAACAGTTGTTATTCATACATCTTTGGATAACAGTTGTTATACATACATTTATGGATAACAACTGTTATACATACTTTTGTAAATAATAGCTGACATTGATATTATTGGAGAGAATGACCTGGAGTTGGTAAAAATACTGACTCTCTTAAAAGAAGCAGCTTAAAAAATAGGGACTAGTTATTAATTAAGAATGGAAAAGAGGAAAATACTGCACAAACACAACCAAATGCTTCAATCAAAGTCTTTAAAAAAGTGAGTATTGAATACAATACAAACTGTGAATAAATACTAAATGGACAAGACAACAGAGCTTGTAGACAACCAAGTTCATATAATAAATACATAATGAGGGTAGGGAAATAGACAAGAAGAGCATTATTACAAAATGAAATATGTTTAAAAAAAAAAAAAAAAAGAAAGGGAAAAATAAACAAATGAAATAATGAAATTAAATAAAATCAAAAAAAATCAATACAGTGTGCTGAATATTAATATTATTCCCTTCGGGACTGAGAATGTGAAAAACGTGAATGAAATGGTTTTCTAATGAATGGTGGGTGGTTTGATCACCAGAGCAGTATTTTATAGCAGTAACTGAGACATCACTTAAGCCTTGGTGGTTTGAACGATTAAAATAAAGGGAATCTGGTTTAAGGGTCTCACTGCTGCCATTCTCTCAGCTGAGCTTTCTAGTAGCATTTTATGTTGTATTTAGTTTATAAAAAAGACCTTTCTTGTAGCTTTCTGAGAGTGGTAAGAGGGTCACACAGTGGAAGAAATGGGGCTTCAGTCATGTAATGTTCACAAAACCAGCAGTACACTGTTCATATCCACCGCAGCCAGGCTCCACTGTAAGTGAAGTAGATAAATGCCCCTGTTATGTAATACCTTTGGCACAATGGGCACTCAGTGCTAGAAATCTACTTTTACAGGCTGATGGGCATGTGATCACTGATGTGGTCTACATCCCAGTGGCCACCTTTACTTCCCAGGACATTACCTGGTACCCATTTTAGGCTGGGTCAACTTGGGAATCAAGGTCCATGTTTGAAAATAAATCTGCCTCCATGCTAAAGATCCAAACTCTTGATCTTTGGGCTGCCAGGCTATCACTGCTACCCCTATTCTAGAGACAGCATAAACCTTTTTTAATCTGTATAATCAAGACACAACTGAATGCTGATAAAGCTTTCAGAAGCACCCGGATACACTAGAAAAGGAATGTACCGAGACTTACCATATGTTCATAAGTTTGACTTACCATATGTTCATAAGTTTGACTTACCATATGTTCATACGTGCATAAGGATTAACTTACCATACGTTCATAAGGATCATCATATTCTGCAGCCTTGTCCAACAGTTCGCTGTACTCCAACTCCTCACACAGCCTCTGTGAGATGACAAATGTGCAGCAGGTATTATATAACTGATCATCTGTTAGCAGAGGTTCTGCCACAACTCGGGATATGCCAAGAGATTCTCAGATTCCCTCACAGCAGTACACATGTACACAGCAGTACACATTTACACAACAGTACACATATACTGACGCTAATTACTTTTGTTGGTCACAGGTTGGCATTATGTGTAACACATCCAAACATCTGTCATGTCATTTGTACTAGCTCCAGTTTGTACTTTGAAACTTATTATCATATTTAATGCTATGCATGTCATATCATTTATGTTATGCCATCTTATGGTATACTGTGTCATGTTATGTTATCTTATGCTATGTTGTATCAAGTTATCTTACATTATGATGTCTCAAGTTACGTAATTATAATTGTCATCAGTGTAAATTAGGCATGCCCAGCTGAGTCCTTTGATGCAGCAGCCACCCTAGGGCATCTGTAAATCTGAACAGTATTTTAGTTAAACATGTGTTGTATCACTTTATGTCATATCATTACACACTGTATCACTGAATGTCATATCCTTACCCACTGTATCACTGAATGTCATATCCTTACACACTGTATCACTGAATGTCACATCATTACACACTGTATCACTGAATGTCACATCATTACACACTGTATCACTGAATGTCATATCATTACATAATAAATCACTGAATGATTTATCACCGCATGTTTTATCATTACACACACAAGTCCTGTCACCACAAGCTCAGGAAACAAATACACAATAAACACAATAAGAAACAATAAACAAGCTACCAAATAATATTTTAATAATCAATATCAAATAATAACAAACCACAAAAATCAATAAAACCAACAAAAACCTACAAAACTACTAACAGATAAAACCAACTCCAACAGCTGACACCAACAACAACAACAAAAACACCTACAACAGATAAAACAAACAAAAACCACCTACAGATAAAACCACCAACAGATAAAACCACCTCCACACAACAAACAACAAACAAACAAAGCACCTCCAACAGATAAAACCACCAACCAACAAAAGATCCAACAAAAAACCACCAACAACAAACAAAAGCACCTCCAACAGATAAAACCACCAACAACAAACAAAAGCACCTCCAACAGATAAAACCACCAACAACAAACAAAAGCACCTCCAACAGATAAAACCACCAACAACAAACAAAAGCACCTCCAACAGATAAAAACCACCAACAACAAACAGAAGCACCTCCAACAGATAAAACCACCAACAAACAAAAGCACCTCCAACAGATAAAACCACCAACAACAAACAAAAGCACCTCCAACAGATAAAACCACCAACAACAAACAAAAGCACCTCCAACAGATAAAACCACCAACAACAAACAGAAGCACCTCCAACATATAAAACCACCAACAACAAACAAAAGCACCTCCAACAGATGAAACCACCAACAACAAACAACTACCTGTAAACCTGCCTACCTGCAACATGCTGAGTGGCTCGTTGAGTGTCACTGGCATGGAGATCTTTGTCAAGTCCTTGCCGATGTTTCGATACATCAGATTAAATAAACTGACAACTGGGCTGGCTGGTTTGGGCACCGGCAGCCGTGATCTTCTTCCTGTAGCAAACACTGACTGGAATGTCACTTCAGACACTGGAATACATAGTACAATCACAAGTGTCAGAAACTCGCTACTACTTTAGAAGTCGGAACAAATAGTACAATCACAAGTGTCAGAAACTCTCTACTACTTCAGACACTGGAACACATAGAACAATCACAAGTGTCAGAAACTCTATTACTTTAGATGTCATAACACATAGTACAATCACAAGTGTCAGTAACTCTCTACTACTTCAGACACTGGAACACATAGAACAATCACAAGTGTCAGAAACTCTATATTACTTTAGATGTCATAACACAGTACAATCACAAGTGTCAGTAACTCTCTACTACTTTAGACGTCTGAACACATAGTACAATCACAAGTGTCAGAAACCTTCAGACACCGGAACACATAGTACAATCACAAATGACTTCAGATTACCAGACTACCAGATTACAAGTGACCCAAATTTTCCAATATATCACTTTAAAGTAAAGTCAAGGATCCTTCTTTGACATATGGGTCAGAAACACATTGGGCATTCCCATGCGTGCTCAGTTTTCAGATGCAGAAGCCACTCTAAAGTACTTCTACTAACTGTTCCCATGAGAAGCTGGTTATATTGTCTCCTATATTGGCCTCAAAGACGGCATAGACGTGCTTCACCATGCTTTACTCCCATGTCACACAATCGTGTTAGTGTCAGGGATTTCTCATTATCCACTAGCCCAGTCCGTACTGTGTTGACGATATCTGCTCTATCCATGCTTTTTCCCCCACAATCCTTAGTGCAGTGCCTGCCAGCTGGTCTGCTCGCTCATTTCCTTTTCACCCGCACGACCCGGTGTGTAGATCCTGGTGAGGGAGATTAAGTGCGATTTTCGAATGCTTTCTACCCATTCTGTTGCTATCTTCTGAAGCATATTCATGGAGTCTAATACAATAACTGCCTGTAGGGCAGTAATGAGGTAACTGGAAGAAGGAGGGGGATAAGAAAAAGAGGAGGAGGGGGAAGAAGAAAATGGAGGATGAGCAGGAGGTGGAAAAGAAGAGGAGGAGGATGAAAAACAGGAAAATAATTTTTAAAAATAGAGAAGCAGGATAAAGAAGAAAAAGAGAAAAAAGCAGAAGAAAAAGGAATAAGATGATGAGGAAGAAAAAATGATAAAGATGAAAAAAAAAGGAGGATAAGCTGTAGGAGAATAAGAAGACAAGAAAAAAAGAGAAGAGGAGAAGGAGGTCAAAAAGAAATGTACCATAATGTGAGGGCATTTTCTGTAGTTTAAATAATTGCCTTTTTGCTAAATTATCTGCAACAGCACTGCAGTAAATGTTGCTGATAAATCTGCTAACTGAAGGTCTTATGCCTGTTACTACCTGTGAGTTACCAGTGCACAGGTCAGAGAACTCTAAAACATCCTAAAAAGCAATGATGGCCCACTACACAAGTCAGAGAACCCGATAACATCCTAGAAGGCAATGATGGCCCACTACACAAGTCAGAGAACCCGATAACATCCTAGAAGGCAATGATGGCCCACTACATACCTGACGTACCTCCAGCAGTGTAGTCTGTATCATTCCCATCTTCAGAGACTTCACTGGAAGCTTCTTCATCTGAGGCCTGGAATGTAAATCAGCATCAGAAAGGATGAGACAAAGTAGACTAACATTTCATTACCTGTAAGTAAAGCACCATCAGGATGTTGTTCCCACAGTGGTGGTATGAGTGTCACTGTGGAAGAGACTGAAGCCTCTCCAGGTAATATCAACAATCTCCCTTGTGAAGATGGCACCACATCCCTTTTACAACTAAGAGGGGCATGTGTTATATGGTGCTAGTCCCGTTAGTACTCAATGGGTGATGGTCAACATACCACTAGCTGCCATTACTTTACAAGATATTTCCAGGCACCAAATTTAGGCAGAACTAATTAAGCTACACAGGTTTTTTTTTTTTTTTAAATCCCTACCTTGAGTAGAAAATAAATATACAACCACCAGAGAGGACATGTTGAGTATTAAAAAAATGTTTAGTTTGTGAAGTAGCACCATCATCTTCCCAGGGATACCTCCAGTAATGCTGCAGACTCCTGGCAGAGACCACACACTGAGTATGTCAGTACAGTGCTGACTGTGTTATAGGGACGGATCAATTTATGTTCACAAACTTCCTACACAAATGCTATACTATTTTTTTTTTTAAATGCATAGATTTCCAACTGTGCTTTCCTGATGAAAAAAAAGGCACAGCTACTGAAAGAAACATCATTTTGACATTTAGAATCTGTGTAATTTAATGACGGAAACTGTTGAAACTATATACAATAATATCTTAGGGTTCAGCCAATCAGTTGACAGTTCTTTTGTATCTGGGTCATTATTAGTTTTTAGGCGTTCAGGCTTTCCCATCAAATAATAAAAACACACCATCCGATAACTATGTTTTTTTTTTTTTTTTTCAGGAAAGCAACATTGGAAATCTAGGTGTTTCTTTTTCTTCTTTTTTTTTTTTAAGGTAAATAAATATTTTACTGTGAGGTTTTATAATTATGAACTTCAACCTTGCTCTAATCCGTTTCTTTTTTTAAATTTTTTAAAACTCCCAGGGGACTTTTAGCATGCTTCTAATTTGTGTGCCTCCTTGCAGACTGTCATGACAGTTAAGTTGGAGATGTTGCTGAACCTGCCAGCCACTTCTTCTGCCTCCAATGAAAAACCTGCTGCCACAGATTTATACTAGCAGAACTGGCAAGTCTACATAACAACTATCCCAAAATCTTCATTTATTTCATGCTGTGTGTGCCATTTGCTGTCTTGTTTATGGATAGCTTCCTGTCGGATACACTGCCAATAATTTCTGATACATATTCTTTCATACCACAGTGTCACATCATCTAGAATCTTCTCTCTATGCCTGTCCTTGTCTCTTTTCTTGCTGTCAGAATACTTGCCAGCTGATCTTCTGATGTTGCAAAGGAAGTGGATAATCTATTTATGATATAATTAAGGATAATTTTGGCACTTACTTTACTCTGGCCGGTATGAACAACTTTTTTAGAATGCTGTTGTTATTGTGTTTGAATGTACAAACCTTAAGATGATTAACCCCATCTCTGTGGACACTCTCTTGATCCTGTATCTGCTCTTCTTAGATGTAGCACCTCTTTTCGCTAATTGGAGTTGCTGCATTCAAACAACATGACCAAACCATCTCATTTTCTACTTCTCAATGTCTTTGACACAAAGCATTATTTCCAGAATATGTAACGGCAAATTATTAAAGATGCCTAGAAAACTCACAGAATTTTATCATGAGGGTCAGGAGGTGCTGACAGGGGGGCATTCTGAGGAAGTGGACATGAGGAAGGCAATCACACAGATGGATTCAGTTGTGAGAGAGGAGTTAAAAACAACAGCAACAAAGGCAGGATATACGTATTTTGACAGAGATTCTGACAGTGCAGTGAAGGCAACGTTCTGTACAGGTCAAACTACTCTATGATTGTACTAATGTCAGTGTCAAACTATCTTTAACTCTTTCAGTCCCACGGAAGACATCATAAGTTCATAGGTTCCAATCAAGAAGCCCAGTGAACATAACATGCGCCAATTTTATATCTCTCTTTACTACCCCATGGAGTTTTGATGTTAAACCCACTGGGACTGAAATAGTTAAGAAAGTCTAGCTTTTGCAGTGTGTACTTCCAATGTGTGCAGATAGTTTGAAAAATAATGCACTCAAGATGGCTCCTATTACCTTCTTCAGCAATTCTCCTGGGACTGAAAGAGTTAAACTACTTTTTCTTCTTTCAAGGTGTCATAATTTTATTCTTCTTCTTCATCAAAATCATTAAATGAGTTACACTGCACTGTTCTGTCAAGCCTGCAGTTCAGTGCATCTATTACTTTGAGTTTGTGGGGGGGGTCCAGTCTGCTTTCCTGTTTGTTTGACTGCAAGGCAGGTGGATGGTGTCTCTTCTCACATGCCGCCTAAATACAAATACAGAGCAGCTGGGTTGTCTCTCCTTGCCTAGTCTTACCCCTTGACCTGTCACACATGGGGGACCCTACAAGCATCTAAGCTCTTGCTGGCACAGATCTTGTGGTCGAGAGAACCATCTACTCTATCAACATGGAGTCATGTCATGGGGGTCCAGAATCACTATCTCCAAATACATGATATCTTGCAGTACAAACTCTCAGTACAAACAAATCTAATCAGTCAAACTATTTCTTCTTACAGCCCATGCTGTGTGGTGTTGGAACCCACACTTGTCTTGTATACAGTGATATCAGGATGCTGTGTGGTGTTGGAACCCACACTTGTCTTGTATACAGTGATATCAGGATGTTGTGTGGTGTTGGAACCCACACTTGTCTTGTACACAGTGATATCAGGATGTTGTGTGGTGTTGGAACCCACACTTGTCTTGTATACAGTGATATCAGGATTCTGTGTACATGAGATAAACTTACTTCTGTTGAGGAGTCACTGTTTGTTCCAAAGTTCTCCTCGGCATCGTAGTACTCAGACAGGGAGAAGTTGTCCAATGACATGCTCTGGGCAATGTTGGCCTTGTCCTGGGCAGTTCGAACAGACGGCAAAGGAGATACCACGGCTGGGACTGCTCCATCCATCGTGTATGAATCAACATGTATACGAGCCAGTCGACCTCGAAGATCTGCATTCTGCTTCTGCAGCTGCTTGCCAGAAAGAACAAAATTGTAAAACAGATTTAAAAAAAAAGAAAAGACTTGCAGCTGATGTAGTTCACATTATTAAAAACCAGTCCCAGTATTTGTTTGCTGTTTGTGGTTTTCACTAGCCAAGTTTACATTCAGTAGTTTCCCATTGCTTCTGAATGGTCAGCTCTCGATACCATTATGGAAATCAGTGCAAAGTGACCTCTTTATAACAATTTCCCAAAACTCCATGTTTCTTCTGCCTCTCCTTCTCTTTCCTGTGTATCTGTGTGTGTCTCTATCGGTGTATCTATTATACGATGTCTGCGTGTCTCTGTTTGTTTTGGTTTATGCGTCTGCCTGCATGTCTGTGTGCGTATGTGTGCGTGTGTGACTGTATGAGTGCCTGTGTGTGTATCTGTTAGTTAGTTAGTTAGTTAATTGGGTTATCCTCATTGCACTCCGGACATGTCCATAGGTGCTCATATCCTCCCCTCAGTATGAATCCCAACGTCCGATGGCTAATAGTACCAGTTCTATGTTGATTAACAAGTCTTCTGACGTGTCCGGTGTGCGTCTCGTTTTTTGCTGTGCCGATCTTAATTCCCAAGTCTGCCATTCTGGCGAGTGATGTGGATTCACTGCCACCAAAGTCCTCTATCCTTCCCATTTCTCTGAGGGCATTGATAATATCAGCATGATCCATAGGCCGACCGTCGGTAGTGATAGCGGATCCAGCCAACCTGTCAGCTCTTTCATTTCCATCGACGCCTGCGTGTCCCGGAACAAAAATAAAGGTGACTCCTCGCACAGTGGACTTCTGAATTGATTCAAGCCATTGTCTTCGCACTGAACCTGCCTGAACCCTCCGGATCATACTCATTGAATCACTGAGTATACATATGCGGGTGTATTTTTGTGTTTCAAGCCAGGCAAACGCTTGCGTCACTGCCATCACCTCCATCGTCAGGCTGCTGGTTGTCATGGAGAAGGCGCCGTTGGCTTCTTTGACTGTTCTGCCCGCTGAGCGTGCTGTAAATGCCCATGCGCTTCTTTTTTGGCGTATAACGGATCCGTCTGTATAGATTAGTGCATCTGCTTCGTCTGAATTTTCACCGATGAGAGCGTTGACCACTGCATTAACAGCAACAGAATTCTCTTCTCTACATCGCCTGTTGAGTGTGACAATACAGGAAAATGTACAAATACACGCCTGAGGCACAGGTATCCATTCTGCACCAGGTATGATGTCGGTTAGGCTGCATATTTGCCTAATAACATCTTCTGCCCGACCTAGCCACGATTTTCCCCTCTTCAGTCTGTCGCCCTTTTCACTAAAAAGCGCTTGATGCAGTAGGTGTTTCTTATCAGCACATATTTTGAGGTATGCCCGAGCCCTCCACATCCTGATCCTTTGGTTCATTGTTGGAAAGTTAAGTAGATACCTCATTGCTCCACAGGATGTGTCTCTTGTACATCCCAAAATAATACGCATGGCTTCATTTTGCACCTTCTCGAGTCGTTCAATCTGGGTAGCACTGACAGTGAGGATGGCCAGAGCGTATTCAATGGGAGAAAGGACCAGACCGTAGAATAGAAGCACCAGCAGTCTTTGCTCGATATTGGAAGCAGCCATAATCCTCATTGCAGGTAGACCTTTGCGTGCTTTTGTTATCACATGGTCAACGTGTTCCCTGAATGACAAGCTGCGATCGAACCTCACCCCGTGAAACGTCATAATTGGTTCGATCAATACATTATCACGCATTTTCACTTCTGGTAAGTCTGACTTGACAATGTGATTGTTCAAAGAGAACCATGACACTGATGCCTTCGAGGGATTGACATAGGCATTGGAACCATCACACCAGGCGGCAATTCGATCGAGTTCTTTGTGCATTGTGTGTGTATCTGTGTTCCTGCCTGCGTGTGTGTATGTGTTTGTGTGTGTGACTGTGACTGCATGCGTGTGACTGTGTGGGTTTATGCCTGTGTGCGTTGGTGTGTGTGTTTGTATGGGTCTTTTTTGTGCGGCTACATGTGTGTGTGTATGTGTGTGTGTGTATAGCTGTGTGTGTCTATATGTGTCTGGGTTGTATGCATGTGTGTTTTAGAGCGCATGTGTGTGGGTGACAGTATGTATGTATGTATGTATGTATGTATGTATGTATGTATGTATGTATGTATGTGTGTGTGTGTGTGTGTGTGCATGTTCATATGTATGTGGATGTGTGCGTGTATTGGGTGCCTATGTGTATGTGTGAGTGAATGGGTTTGTGTGTGTATGTGGGTGTGTGTGTTTGCGCGCGAGCGTGCGCACATATTTTACCACCCATGCTTTTGTTTTTGACTTGATATTCATAGTATGCATATTATTACATGAACATAACATGCTTTATTGATGAAATACAACTGCGGTGTGAAAAATGAGTTTGGAAGGGTCGAATGTAAGACAGGCCTGCGTGCCTAACTTGTAACCCCTTTGAAAATAAAGTTTGTTCGTTCATTCGTTCGTTCGTTAGTTTCTTAGTTTCTTGGTGGTAGACTTTCAGAGAATTATGAGGATTTTTTTAAAAGTTATTAAAAAAGTTTTTTTTTTAATAATGCAAAAGGGTTGGAGACCAGGCAAAAAAAAAAAAAAGATCATGTCATCTTGGTCTTCTGGTGAACTGCAGCACTGAGGTGCTGGACTTGCCAGATTCCAGACGTTATCAAGAACATTTCACAGGACAGAACAGAATGCAGGAATCAACATCTTACCTCAATCAGTGAGTTTTTCAACACTACAATCTGTCCGTGGCCATATTCACTATCCTGTTCAACAGTGGTTCGGATGCGCTCCTTCTCTGCGGCAACTATACTCAGGAGATCCTTAAACTTGGTCTGAACTGTGAGGGAAAGGTCAAGCATCAGTTCTGAGTGTGAAAGCTTTCTCAACTAAACAAGTCACAGCAGCAAGAGAGAGAATACAAAACTGAAATAGGTTTAACACATGAAACGTTAATGGTAAAGGAGGCAGAGAAGGACAGCAAGAGAAAATTCTGGATGGCTGTTTATGGCAAGAACCAAAAAATCAGGATCTGAAATGATTGTTGGAAACTGTGAGGTGAGGGCAGGCATGTCCCATCAGGCAAAGCACCTGATGATGACAGGCCAATTCTGACCGAGAAAGGTGAGGATAAGCATGTTTCCTGCAGAGTGGCACATTTTACTTCAAAGGTCACGGGTGAGGATCATTGCCTGGATCTTTTCTATTGGACTTGCCGGTGTGTACAATATGGAGGAGCAAATGGATCACGACAGTCTGGTGAACGTGATGCAGTGAGGAGTGACAAGGGATCTGGCGGACACTCAATGCTCAGAGGGAAGGCAAGAAAGATGTATAACCAGACTGATACTGGCCATTGCTATTGGAACTCTGCGCTGGCTGCTGAAGGTGATAATGAAGCACTTATGGGAATGCCGCGAGAGCTGTGATGTAGGTTCTTGAATCAACTCAACATAATAACACTATAGTACAGGAGCAGATAGAGTGGGTTAATGAAACAACAGAATCAGGTACAAAGGAGTTAATAAAACCACATCAGGCCAGGAGCTGAGTTGTCTTGTTTGACAGAGTTCAAGAGCCAGGCAAACAAATGTTTAGAGGTTTGAGTATAAAAGTCACCACAATGTGGATTCAAACTTAAGACCTTCTGACCAGTATCTAGAACCTGGACCACACAACTCCTATGCAAAAAAAACTAAAACTGTGGGCCGGCTCCACAATAAAAGTTGGTTTCAGTGCACCAACTTTTCTTTAAGTCACAGGCGTCTGCTTGAGTGGCAAAGAAACCACAGTCTGCTTACAAAAAAAGACCAAACCTGTAAAACGGATGTGCTTGCAAAACTTGAGTTCTGGAACAGTCAAGTCCAGAAATGGATGAACAAAAAGAGCTTTATGCTTGAGTTTAAAGCTGCTGAACATGAAGAAGAAGAAGCAGAAGAAGAAGAAGAAGAAGAAGAAGAAGAAGAAGAAGAAGAAGAAGAAGAAGAAGAAGAAGAAGAAGAAGAAGAAGAAGAAGAATAAGAAGAAGAAGAAGAAGAAGAAGAAGCAGCAGCAGCAGGAGGAGGAGGAGGAGAAGAAGAAGAAGAAGAAGAAGAATTGTGAACCCACTGATGATTTTAGGAATATTAAGTGATGACAACACTAAATCTCTTCCATAGAATGATAGCTCTCTGAAAACCATGAGATATTTGGTACAAATAAATCATCCAAAACAGGATTCGAACCCTGACACTTTAAAGATCATCAAATTGTGAAAAAACAGTCACTAACCTTTCTTAACAACCAAGTGTAAAAGGTGGAAGAAAGGTATCAGGTGATGACTGACATTCGCAGGAAAGTATTAGCTGTAAATCTCCCAGTGTTTGCCACTGAAACTATTGACTGTCCAAGAAGAAACAAAACCAATAACTTACGCTGCTGAGCCAGGGACAGGAAACTCTCCCGCAGTTTGATCTCCTGGATCCTCTCATGAACCACTGCTGATGAAGCTCCGCTGGCCAGCCGTCCTCGGCTGCTGCTGCCGCTGCTCCCAAACTCGCTGGAGTTGACAACCGGGTGGGACAGGTTGGTACCATTGCTGTACTGAAGGAGGTTGGGGTTGGAAGCACTGGAGTGGAGGCGCTCAGATGGCGGTGACAACACGCTGGTGGTGGTAGAGGTGTGGGAGAGTACCTGGGTGAGAAACATTTAGTGAATGTAGCAATGAAGCCATCACAGAATAATTACCATCATCATCTACCCTGCCAATAAATATAGGCGGTTGTGTTTCACCCTCTCAAACAGTTATCAGAATCAGGCCAATGTTATTGTCTCACTCCTTCCAAACTGCCAGCCATCAAGGAAATTATCTCTTTGCATTCCCTTTTCTCTTTTACCAAGAATCTTGCCAGATGTAACCAAGTACTTAAGTCCATTCCTTCTCACAACACACTGTCTACATCTTACGACTCTGATCAGAAAGTTACACCCTGATACATCGTATCTACTTCACACTGCCTTGAGCATCTTTTGGAATCGTTTCTTGTTCTGCCTGAACTGAGCAGAAATCTCAACTGCTGAACAGAAACTTTGCTGCAATCAAAACAAGTCAACTACAATGTACACACATTTGTAACCTAATTAACAGAAAAAGTAAACATACAAAAACAAAATTAGTTAGTTAGTTAGTTAGTTAGTCTTTCCTCTTGTGTCGAGTGCGGCACATAGGGCAGAGGTCATGACTCTCCATGCATGGCGGTTCGTTGCAATCCGTTGTAGGTCTTGGATGTTTGAGTGGCCCATGAGCGAGCCTTCCCTGATGATAGTTCTATGTAGGGTTTCCCTTGGTCTTCCACAAGATCTTTTCCCCTGTGGTGTCCAAATGAGGGCTTGGTAAGGAAGTCTTGATTTATCCATTCTAAGGGCGTGGCCGACATAGTTCCAGCGGCGTTCTGGGCAGATTGTATACTGAAGTAAAGTCAATGTCTTGTTTCTGTTTCTGGGCAGATTGTATACTGAAGTAAAGTCAATGACTTGTTTCTGTTTTTGGGCAGATTGTATACTGAAGTAAAGTCAATGACTTGTTTCTGTTTCTGGGCAGATTGTATACTGAAGTAAAGTCAATGACTTGTTTCTGTTTCTGGGCAGATTGTATATTGAAGTAAAGTCAATGATTTGTTTCTGTTTCTGGGCAGATTGTATACTGAAGTAAAGTCAATGTCTTGTTTCTGTTTCTGGGTAGATTGCATATTGAAGTAAAGTCAATGTCTTGTTTCTGTTTCTGGGCAGATTGTATATGGAAGTAAAGTCAATGACTTGTTTCTGTTTCTGGGCAGATTGTATATTGAAGTAAAGTCAATGACTTGTTTCTGTTTCTGGGCAGATTGTATATTGAAGTAAAGTCAATGACTTGTTTCTGTTTCTGGGCAGATTGTATACTGAAGTAAAGTCAATGACTTGTTTCTGTTTCTGGGCAGATTGTATACTGAAGTAAAGTCAATGACTTGTTTCTGTTTCTGGACAGATTGTATATTGAAGTAAAGTCAATGACTTGTTTCTGTTTCTGGGCAGATTGTATACTGAAGTAAAGTCAATGACTTGTTTCTGTTTCTGGGCAGATTCTATACTGAAGTAAAGTCAATGACTTGTTTCTGTTTCTGGGCAGATTCTATACTAAAGTAGAGTCAATGACTTGTTTGTGTTTCTGGGCAGATTCTATACTGAAGTAAAGTCAATGACTTGTTTCTGTTTCTGGGCAGACTGTATATGGAAGTAAAGTCAATGACTTGTTTCTGTTTCTGGGCAGATTGTATATGGAAGTAAAGTCAATGTCTTGTTTCTGTTTCTGGGCAGATTGTATATTGAAGTAAAGTCAATTTCGTGTTTCTGTTTCTGGGCAGATTGTATATTGAAGTAAAGTCAATGACTTGTTTCTGTTTCTGGGCAGATTGTATATTGAAGTAAAGTCAATGTCTTGTTTCTGCTTCTGAGCAGATTGTATACTGAAGTAAAGTCAATGTCTTGTTTCTGTTTCTGGGCAGATTGTATACTGAAGTAAAGTCAATGTCTTGTTTCTGTTTCTGGGCAGATTGTATATTGAAGTAAAGTCAATGTCTTGTTTCTGTTTCTGGGCAGATTGTATACTGAAGTAAAGTCAATGACTTGTTTCTGTTTCTGGGCAGATTGTATACTGAAGTAAAGTCAATGACTTGTTTCTGTTTCTGGGCAGATTGTATATTGAAGTAAAGTCAATGTCTTGTTTCTGTTTCTGGGCAGATTGTATATGGAAGTAAAGTCAATGTCTTGTTTCTGTTTCTGGGCAGATTGTATATGGAAGTAAAGTCAATGTCTCTTTTCTACGCCTTTAGGCGTATTTAGAATACAGGGCTAGACCTCAATTTTTTTAAAGACTAATCAGCCCTTGGTGGGTGATGCGATCAGCATCATGCTGGCTGCCTTTACTTCCAGGACTGTACCTGGTACCTACTCAATGCTGGGTCGACCTGGGAGTGAAGGTTATTTTTTTTTAAAAGTCAGACTCTGTGAAGATACGAACCCAAACCTTTCGGTCCGCAGGCGGGCGTCTAGCCGCCAACGCCACAGTGACTCCCAGACTGTACATGTACCCTAAAAAAAACTAATTAACAGGGTCAGACGGTTTTTGCTAATGATGTTTGGGTTTTTTTTTTTGGTCTTTCTCTTTTTAATCACATTTGTTGTTCAGTTGGGGGTGGACAGCGGGGAGGGTCTGACCAGACATTTCAGGTGCTACCTGAACAATGGTTGAGAACCAATGCTTTACGGCAATAACGTAGGAAATTTTAGAAATGGAAAAAAATACTGTTTGAAACAGAGGGAGATATATAATGGTTTAATGAAAGAGATCAACAAAATGACAGAAGTTATGAAACAGAGGGAGATATATAATGGTTTAATGAAAGAGATCAACAAAATGACAGAAGTTATTAAACAGTAACAACATATACTGAGTAGCCAGCAACAGGTGGTGAGCTCCCTGGTAGTGAAAGAGTTAAATGCATGATGATGCCATATTTTTAAAAACAATACCTGACACCAGATCATATATGAACCATGTGACAGTGCAAATACAGTAAAACCTCATTTAAACAAGGTCACTTAAGGTCAACACTTGGTTAACATGAACAAAATGTTTGTCCCAGCAGGGAAGTATGTGTATTATCTTTCACATCTATTATAGTCCGTTCCAAAAGTTGAGGCCACGTTTTAAAATCTCTAACCCAGTAATCGTTCGGTGTAAAGTGTTAAAATTTGGTATGCAACTTTAAACTATGTTTTTTAAAGCATGTCCTTGTAACAAAATAATTATAGTGTAAACAAATGTCTAGTTTTCATTTTTCTTTATTGTGATCTACAAAATACTGACACCAATTCAAAGTGGATACGTCATGCACTGACATAATTCTTCTTCACTGGCCCATAAAAAGTATGTGATTCGTGTCAATTACTGTACATATTGGGGCAGGTGGGGGGGGGGGGGGGGGGGGGGGGTGGGGTGGGTGTTAGTCCAACAGAGATCTCCAAAATTTGCCACTGTAATAAAATAATAAAACAGCAATTCTTGTGCAACTGTATCTCATTAAATCATAAGGACAGGGAAATCTAAAACCACAAGCAAAAATGTGTGCTGATCCATACAGAAATATTTGTTAAAGTTTGAGGGCACAACTTTTCGATTATAGTTCCTATTTCACACATACTTATTTTTTTTTTCTTTAACACAAACTGGAATTATCAGTCTTTTGGGATTTGTGTTAGCGAGGTTTTACTGTAATACATTAGGAAACAACAATTCGACAATATAAAGAGTAAAATGCACTGGGGATATATTTAACATTAAAAAGTAACAATAAATATGCTGTGGAAAAGTAGAAAAACCATTTGTTGAAAAATATCCAAGCAGTGAAAAAAAACAAAAACAACCAACCGAGATACTAGAGGTGACAGTGACCTTTTCCTTCACAGAAAATATCTGAAAATTCCGAAGACTTTCCGGGTCCTTATCGAGAAAAAAAAAGGGGGGGGGGGGGGGGGATGCCAGATCCATTCTGGTGGCTGCCATTAACTGGCATACTGCTAAGGTATAATACACGCATGTGGCTGCCATTAACTGGCATACTTCTTTCTTCTTTTGTCAAAATCTACTTGTGCCGCTAGGCGTCGCAGTCTATCAGATGATCGGCAACCGAGCCAGGGCGCGCTCAGTCGCTTCATTTGCCGTGATGTTATGAAGTCTCAAGTTGTCCGTGACTCCTTCAATCCATCTTCTTCTTGGTCTTCCCCTGCCTCTTGGTGTTTCGATTTTCATGTTGTATGCTCTTGATGCTGGCATCGTTGGTTCCATTCTCATTAGGTGACCAAACCATTTCATTCTTTGCTTCTCAATAAATTTAACGATGGGTATGGTTCCAATAGTTCTTGTAATCACATCGTTTCTCACTCGATCTCTTCTGGTTTTATTCGCAGCCATTCTCAAACATCTCATTTCACAGGTGGTTAGTCTTCTCTCGTGTTCTTTTGTTAATGTCCAAGTCTGACATTGATAACCTAATGTCGGTATAAAGATTGTATTTATAATTTGTCTTTTTATCTCAGCTGGGACCGCAGGGTGTTTTAAAATTGGTGCAAGCTGGTATGCGACATTGTTGGCTTGTTGGATTCTTGCTTCGATCTCTCTGTCTATTTTACCATTGGATGTAAAGATACTTCCCAAGTATTTAAATTCTTGCACTTGTTTTAGGCTGTGATCTAGAATCTTTATGTCGATGGTCTGTTGCTCTCTACTTATGCTCATGACTTCTGTCTTTTCAATATTGATCTTCATATGATGCTTGAGGCAACTGTCGTGCAGTAGGTTTATGTGGTCTTGCAGCTGTTTACTATCACTGTGAAATATGCATTGATCGTCGGCAAAGAGCAGCTCATTGAAGTCCTCCTGTTTATCGACATCTGTTGGTGTTATGTCTATTTTATTTATATTGTCCATAAATATTATGAAAAGTAAAGGTGATAATACACAACCTTGTCTTACTCCTGATGTTACTGGGAACCAGTCTGTGATGCCAGCTCTTGTTCTAATGGCGCTTTCATTTTGTCTATAAATAGCCCTAACACAATCTAAAATTGTTCCATTTATACCGTAGTTTTCAAGAACT